CCCTAACGAAAACGCGCGAATGCTCATCTGATTGCGAACAGGCAAGTGATCTCGCCCACAATTTTCTTTCTTTCTTTTTTTTTTTTTTTTTTTCATATGTACAATTAACTTACTCGCACTTAAACAACGTACGAGTCGTGTTTTTGGAACGTTAGAATAGATCACGATTATCGTGACACTGATCTTTTGTTTGTTTTAATAAGAAATAGATTTAATCGTATGGATGAGATTTTGATATTTTTTTTTTTTTTTAATTTATCTCAAAAGGAGACTTCGTGAAATTAAATCGAAGTTTTAAAGGATATTTATTTATATTATAATTTATATATAAACAATAACTATTTAAATATATATCGTTTTATTTGAATAGATATTGTTTTCAATTCAAATAATTATTTATTTTATTTGATATTTTGTGTTTGAATAAATATAAAAATTGAAACAATTTATCAAACAGAAATTTTAATTATAATGTATATAAATTTTGATTAGTATATAATATTTGTATCGCATACAAATGTTTTTTTATAATATAGTATTTAATATTAATACTATATAATAAAAATTTAATATTAATATTATAAATTTTAATATTGAATCTATACTCTATATAAGAATAATTTTACCAATATCGTAAAAAAAAAACAAATTTGAAATTGATTCAAATAAAAAATTAAAATAATTTAATCGATCATAACATTTTCTCATATCATTGCTAAAATAAATATGATTGAATCATAATTGAATGATAATCATTAATTAAAATTCTTCGTTTTGTCTTTAGTTTAAATAAAATACGACAAAACCTAATTTAAATATAATTTCTCATCCATATCGAGTAGCATATCGAATAATGTATCATTAAAACACGACACGTACGCGAAGGAGAGAAATAAAATAAATACAGGACGGATATGTTTAACCTTCGAGCTAGAGATTTTATCCTATATATCCTTTATATTTCTTACAAATAAGATAGCGTTTCGAGCACGCCAAATTTATGACACTTTTACATTTTTATCCTTTTCGACAAACGTAACGAGTCTCGATTTTCCGTAGAATTAACATTTTGGACTCATTGTTCAATCGGTCGGAGTTAACAGGATAAAACGATTCCTCGATATGTTCGATCGAACGTTCAAATTATATCTATACGTTCGCTATTTTCATTTTCTCGCGATGTTTCTTTGCCTGAATTGCACAGGTACGCATCTATTCCGTCCCTATACTGTTTTTATACGTATATATATACATGTACACAAACGTAGCACACACGTTAAATAAACGCTAATGATATTTCTTTTACATTACATTTACATACATTAAAGCTGCACCTTGTGTATACGAATACACATCTAAAGTATGTACAACGACGTTATATCCCTGTGGATCTAATTCAGACAGCTAGAATCCGATTCTTCTCGATTCGATATTCGTCTGCTTTTTTTTTCGTTGATTCGATTTTTATTCCTTTTCTTCGAATATTCCATTTATTCAATAAATTAGATTTCAATATTTTCAGAAAATGGTATTTTTATTCAGATTTTATTTTTACGTGGATAATTTTTATGATATTTTTTGAAATTGTTTTATATAATCAAAATTATATAGGATTATCGAAAATCCATAATACATGTAACGAAAATTCTCTATAGAATTTCGTTCTTCTATTACTACAATATCTTAAGTAGCTTTTATATTGATTCATCAGATAGAATATTTTTTAATCGCGTTTAATTTTGGTAACATTTTCTTAAAAATTATCGGTTATGAAAAGAGATTATAATATAATTTTATAGCTGTAATGATATTAATATAATTTTCCGAAATTCTGTTAAGATTCATTTTCTTCAAATAAATCTTTCGTGAATAATCTACTTCTTTGTAATTAAATGAAACCAAAAGAGACCAAAGCGAAGATTATAAAATGTAAAGAAGCTTCTTAAAGCAGTTAAATTATGAAACGAGATTTGTTTAATAAAATCTCAAAATCTAATTTGCAGTAGAACGTTGAGAGTTGTATTTAAAAATGAAAAAAGATATAATAAAAAATTATTAAATATGTTACTATTTCAAACAAATAATTTTAATAAAAATAAATATTAATTTTCTCAAAAGCATCTGAATTTTAAAAAATTTCAAAGATAAAAAAATCTTCATTCTATCGTTAAGCGTAATAATTGAATCTATTCTAATTGATATCTATTTGATATCTATTTCATTTTTTCTTTAATTTCGGGAAATGTATCTTAAAAAGCTACAAAAAGAAATATTTTTTCAAAAATCGAATCAAAAAAGCAGCGATTTATTTTTAATTTGAAACGAAATTCGAAATAATTTTGTAAGGAATCTCAAATTTTCCCTTATGGGAATACTTTGAAGCGAATCTCACGAGTCGAACCAGAGAAATCGGACTTTCTCGGAAAAGAAGCAACTTTTTTCGTGCCAGTCGGTCGAAGTTTCGAGAAAGCAAGTGTAAGTTTCGCGGAAACCTGAATCGCGCGAGGGCATTTAAAAATGATATAGCGCGAAGACTTTCAATTTCACGATGTTTCAACGAGAAGAACATTACGCTCTTTTCGCGGAAGCCTCGCCTCGAATTCGACACTTGTGCGACGGCCAGCTGCGTCTATCGATTCTGCAAACTACGTGCTAATGATTCGATCAATTTTCTTGATAAAGCTTCGAGAAAAATATTTTGATCAAATATTAGGGTATTCATGAAAATATTGCTTATTTTAAGATTTTATTTCATCAAATGATGAAACATGTGCTATATTAATTAGCTGTAGAAAAGGCTTTCAAGCGATATATTAATATTTTATTTATATTTTTATTTGATAATTATTTTGCAAATAATTAAAATAACTTCTCGAATACCCTAATATTGTGTGCAAAACATTAGCGATTATAAACTTACTTGTTTATAAGTAAAAGTTTAAAATAAGTCGGAATCTATGATTATTCTCTTAAAAAGATATAATAGATATAAGAAATTAAAAATTTCCATAAAAAAAAAATCAGATTGATAAGTTTGTATAAACGTTTTTTGTATAAACGTAGAGTTATTTATAAGGAACAGATTGAATCGAATCTTTCTTAAAAAAATATAATAAACTATAAATTTCGAGAATTTCTATAAGAAAATGAGAATGATGAATAATTGTTATTTCGCGTGGCTCATACGATCTAATTCAATTTTTATTTTATTTATTTTTTTTTTCTCTCTCTCTCTTTTCTCAAAGATGAAAGTCTTCGTTCCTATGAAAAAACGTATGCTCGTAGTTACACACTAATTGTAAGAAAAAACAGGTACGGACAAAGACAGCGTTTCCAACTGTGATGGAATTGCTATGGAAATCCTTTTGACATGTTAGCGTCCTTTCATATTCGCTAGCACTTAATCGCGTATGGACAATTGTGCACTAAGTACGTTTACGATTTCATTTTGCATTTTTCTTCTATAATACGTAATGTGTGCTCGATTCTCGCCACCTATCGCGGCTAGTAACTTTAGGCTACGCTTATGATGGAAACTCGACCAATTATTTCTACATTTTAGATAGTTTAGATAGTTTACGCGTAAATTAAGAAGCTGAGAGAGTAACGCCTTGATGATTATCCTTTTTTTTTTTTTTGATCGCTTCTATTTTCATTTTTTGTATTAATTTATTGTTTTTATTTTTATATCGTTTATAATTAATTATCAAAATATGGTTTCATTAAATCAATATATTTAATATATTCGCATTTATTTGATTTGATTTTTTTTTATTTGATTTGTAATGGTTCTGTATATTTACTTTAGTAATAAATAATTAAAATTTGATTTATTTGAATATAAGAGTAAAAGTAATAAAAAAAAATGATAAGAATAAAGTAGTAAAAAATATTATTCTAATTTATTTAGTTCAAATCTTGTGGAATTATATTTTATCTCTTTTTTTATATGACTATGAAATGTGAAAAGGAAATGAATCTGCAAGAAAAAAAGAAGATAAGACTTCAGTATCTTAATAGTATCTTATTATGTTGATATAAAGCATCTAATGTACGTTACGTTTTATCTTCAATCAAAACATAACTACATGAGTTATGTTCGATGGGACAATCAAAATCGAGTATCGATTATTAAAAATTGATGTGACTCAGCGATCACACGAGTCGCGATCCTTATATAGTATGCAAATTGTATGAAGAATATAACGAGTCATGTCATTTTGTATTATGTATAATTCAACTATATGACCCATATTAGTCAAATGAATTTTTCATTGACTTTTCATTCAATTGAAAATTAAACATTAATCTTTATCTTCATTGAACAGAAACGAAGAATAGATAATCCCATCTTATGAGAAGATCTTTTCATTCAGAACCATTACAAAAAAAAAAAAATCGATATTTCTTTTATCATATTTTTCCAAGATTTCATTATTTATTAGAATCGTGTTCTTAGAATATTAAATTTTAAATCAAATAATAAAAATTATAATAAGTTATACGAATCATCAATGAATTTGTATAATGTTTAATAATTATATAATATAATATTTAAATTAAAATTTAAAAATACTATTCAAATAATTGAAGAAATAAAAAATTGTCAAAAAAATTATCTTTGAAAAAAATTATATATCATTCATTATTTAAATAATAAAATCCATCTAGTATCACTACATTTTATCATTAATATCAAGGCGTTAATTCAAAGCTTAATAAAAAAGTAATCTATCAATCGATTGCTCGATAATAGCGTAGAATAAGAAAAATTTTGAAGCATATATTTACAAATCGCGAATATTTCTCAACGAAGATATGAGAATAGAACATGACCATGCAGAGGCTATGTTGAGTCGCGAGAAAAAATCAAGATGATGTTTCCAAGAATTGGAAAGGTAATCGACATAGAGAAAGGACATCGATAATTTGGTCGAACGATAAAAACGTGAAATATAGTGATAAACAAAACGGTATAAATAATCGTGGGAATATTTTTCCTAATTATACGTTCGAATTTTCGCGCGTTTACCCGATCGTCAATAGAGGTCGCTATTTTATCCGTCTCGCGATTCATTTACACGTGTCACTGGATATCATTCGGTGTATAAGATCACGAGCTTCTTCGTAGCCTAAAATTACATATGTTTCTGAAAAATATAATGGCTCGCCGAATTTTTCATTCCTCAGATGCTGGCTGTGCCGTATCGCTATCCTCACGGTTGTCACTGCTCGCCTTTTGCTCTTGTTCCTTCTGCGCCCTTGCTTCAGCGTCTGATTAACGAAATTAGAATTATACTGTTGATTTAAGAGGTTCAAAAAAAAAAAATAGTACATACAAAAAGTAAACGTAATGATAAAGTAAATTTTTAAATAGTTCACTTCTTTGAATTTTTAATATAATAGTGATAAATTAATATTCATATGTTATTTTTGTCAAATAATATTATTAGAAACAAGAAAATCTTGAATTTAAAATCATGAACTATAGAAAAATATTTTAAATTGTCACTATTATTATTATACATATTATTCGTTCAAAACAAAGTTTTGTTTCATAATTTTTTTTTTTTTTT